GAGAGAGAGAGAGAGAGAGAGAGAGAGAGAGAGAGAGAGAGAGAGAGGGTGGGGATCGGACCCCCACCCCTCACATATCGAAAGATTTATCTTTTTTTTTTTTTTTTTTGAAAAAACAATTGGTTGTAATGCCACGTAGGATGCGACATCATAGTCGCGAAGGGGATCCAACCCCCATCCCTCACATTTATCTGTTGTTTTTTTTTTGTTGAAAAAATCGATTGAAAAGGTGATGTCCTATTGGTTGTAATGGCACGTAGGGGGCAAGATCATACTCGCGAAGCGCATGTGCCCCCACCACTCACATTCATCTTTTTTTTATTTTTTGAAAAATTTATCGAAAAGGTGATGTCCTATTGGTTGTAATGCCACCGGCCGCCAGGCGAGATCATACTCGCGGAGGGTGTCGAACCCCCACCTCTCACATTGATGTTTTTTTTTTTTTTTTGGGAAAATCAATCGAAAAGGTGATACCCTATTGGTTGTAATGCCACGTAGGATGCGACATCATAGTCGCGGAGTGGATCCAACCCCCACCCCTCACAGTTATCTATTTTTTTTTTTTTGAAAAAATTAATCGAAAAGATGATGCCCTATTGGTTGGTATGCCACGTAGGATGCGACATCATAGTCGAGGAGGGGATCTAACTCCCACCCCTCACATTTATCTGTTTTTTTTTTTTTGGAAAAATCGATCAAAAAGGTGATGCCCTATTGGTTGTAATGCCACGTAGGATGCGACATCATAGTCGCGGAGGGGATCCAACACCCACCCCTCACATTTATGTGTTTTTTTTTTTTGGAAAACCGATCGAAAAGGTGATGCCCTATTGGTTGTCATGCCACGTAGGATGCGACATCATAGTCGAGGAGGGGATCGAACCCCCACCCCTCACATTTATCTGGTTTTTTTTTTTTTTGGAAAAATCGATTCAAAAGTTGATGTCCTATTGGTTGTAATGCCACGTAGGAGGCAAGATCATAGTCGCGAAGGGGATCGAACCCCCACTACTCACATTCATCTTTTTTTTTCTTTTGGAAAAATCGATCGAAAAGGTGACGTCCTATTGGTTGTAATGCCACCGGCCGCCAGGTGAGATCATACTTGCGGAGGGTGTCAAACCCTTACCCCTCACATTGATCTGTTTTTTCTTTTTTGGAAAAATCGATCGAAAAGGTGATGCCCTATTAGTTGTAATGCCATTTAGGATGCGACATCATAGTCGGCGGAGGGGATCGAACCCCCACCCCTCACATTGATCTGTTTTTTTTTTTTTTGGAAAAATCGATCGAAAAGGTGATGCCCTATTGGTTGTAATGCCACGTAGGATGCGACATCATAGTCGCGGAGGGGATCCAACCCCCACCCCTCACATTTATGTGTTGTGTTTTTTTTTTGGAAAAATCGATTGAAAAGGTGATGTCCTATTGGTTGTAATGCCATGTAGGAGGCGGGATCATAGTCGCGGAGGGGATCGAACCCCCACCACTCACATTCATCTTCTTTTCTTTTTTGGAAAAATAGATCGAAAAGCTGATGTCCTATTGGTTGTAATGCCACCGGCCGCCAGACGAGATCATACTCGCGGAGGGTGTCGAACCCGCACCCCTCACATTTATCTGTATTTTTTTTTTTTTTTAAATCGATTGAAAAGGTGATGTCCTATTGGTTGTAATGCCATGTAGGAGGCGCGATCATAATCGCGGAGGGGATCGAACCCCCACCCCTCACATTGATCTGTTTTTTTTTTTTTGGAAAAATCGATCGAAAAGGTGATGCCCTATTGGTTGTAATGCCATGTAGAATGCGATATCATAATCGCGGAGGGGATCCAACCCCCACCCCTCACATTTATGTTTTTTTTTTTTTTTTTGGAAGAATCGATTAAAAAGGTGATGTCCTATTGCTTGTAATCCCACGTTGGAGGCCAGATCATAGTCGCGGAGGGGATCGAACCGCCACACTCATATTCATCTTTTTTTTTTTTTTTGGAAAAAACGATCGAAAAGGTTATGTGCTATTGGTTGTAATGCCACCGGCCGCCAGGCAAGATCATACTTGCGGTGGGGATCGAACCCCTACCCCTCACATATTGAAAGGTTATCTATTTTTTATTTTTTTTTGAAAAAATCGATCAAAAAGGTGATGTCTTATTGGTTGCAATGCCACATAGGAGGCGATATCATACTCGCGGAGGGGATCGAACTCCCACCCCTCACATTGATCTGTTTTCTTTTTTTTTTGGAAAAATCGATCGAAAAGGTGACGCCCTATTGGTTGTAATGCTACGCATGATGCGATATCATAGTCGTGGAGGGGATGCAACCCCCACCCCTTCACATATCGAAACGATTATCTGTTCGAACCTCCACTTCTCAAGCAATATGACATGGGTTCAACCCCCGCCCGCCGGCCGGGTAACGGGCGGGGTCCAACATTTTACAAATGTTGGACCACCGGCAGGCACTGGGCAACAGGCGGGGGTCCAGCGTTTGACAGACGCCGGACCCTCGACTGCCGACCGTGCTATTGGCGGGGGTCCAGCGTTTGACAAACGTTGGAGCCCCGCCTCTTAGTCGTGCTTTTTGGCGGGGGTCCGGCGGCTTACAAACGCTGGACCCCAGCCCTCGACCCGACGGGCAGGCAGTGGTCCAGCGTTTGACAAACGTTGGACCCCCGCCAAAACCACGGCCGGTGGGCGGGGGCCCGGCGTTTGACAAACGTTGGACCCCCGCCAAAACCACGGCCGGTGGGCGGGGGTCCGGCGTTTGACAAACGCTGGACCCTCGCCCGAGACCCGGCCGATGGGCAGGGGTCCAGCGTTTGACAGACGCTTGACCCCCTCCAAAAGCACGGTCGGTAGGCTGGGTTCCAGCGTTTGCGGAACGCCGGACCCCCGCCCACCAGCTGTGCTTTTGGCGGGGGTCCAGCGTTTCTCAAACGCTGGACCACCGCCTGCCCGCTGGGTCGAGGGCTGGGGTCCAGCGTTTGTAAAACGCTGGACCCCCGCCAATAGCACCGCCGACAGGCGGGGGTCCAGCGCTTGACAAATGTTGGAGCCCGGCATACCGACTTGTGCAAGGCGGGGGGTCCAGCATCTTGCAAACGCTGGACCCCCGCCAATAGCTCGGCCGGTGTGCGGGGGGTTCAACATTTGTAAAACGCTGGACCCCCGCCTTGTAGAAACCGGTATATGGGCGTCCGCCGTTTGTAAAACGCCGGACCCCGCGTCATTCGTTCCTCTCGGCAGTCAGGGTTCTGTCGTTTCCCGATTGCTGGACACCACGGCCTTTGTTGCTGTTGGTGGGTGGGGGTCCAGCGTTTGCCAACCGCTGGACCCATGACTGCCGGCAATGACAAACGCGGGGAACCCAGTTCATGCGTCGGAACAAGTGTTCCACATCGACACATGTCGGTCATCTTGTGCGACACGTGTCGTCCGTCATCTTGTGTGGTACGTGTCGTCCGTCATCTTGTCCGTCATCTACCGGTCGTGTTTCTGGCGGGGGTCCAGCGTTTGACAAACGCTGGACCCCCGCCCACCGGCCGACGCTGGACCCATGACTGCCGGCAGCGACAGACGCGGGGTGTCAAACGGGCGGTGGGCGGGGTTCCAGCGTTTGCCTATCGGCTGGGTCGAGGGCTGGGGTCCATCGTGTGTCAAACGCTGGACCCCTGCCTGCCGGCCGGGTCGAGGGTTGGGGTCCAGCGTTTGTCAAACGCCGGACACCCGCCAATAGCGACGCCAGTAGGCGGGGGTCCAGCGTTTCACAAACGCTGGACCCCCGCATACCGGCTTGTACAAGGCGGGGGTCCAGCGTTCTACAAATGTTGGACTCCCGCCAGTGGCTCGGCCGGTGCGCACGGGGTTCAACGTTTTCGAAACGCAGGGGGTTCGGCGTTTGTAAGACGCTGGACCCATGACTACCGGCATCGACAAACGCGGGGTGTCCAACGTGAGAAAACGTTGCCCCCCCCCCCCCCCCCCCCCCCCCCCCCCACGCCCCGCGCCGGGCCCGCGGCCGTTTTCGTTTTTTTTTTTTTTTTGTTGCCCCCCCCCCCCCCCCCCCCCCCCCCCCCCCCCCCCACCCGGGTGTTCCTCCGCGTGATATACCTCCCCCCCCCCCCCCCCCCCCCGCGTTGGTAGTTGGCGCCGTTGAACATCCGTTTTTGTTTGACTTCTGATTACCAAACTCCCCCCCCGCCACCCCCCGTGGAATGAGCGTTGTCGGCATGTGCCCTGCGATTGCTTCTATTGATTGTTATGTCCCGTCTTGCGCTGTGTGAGATAGAGATAGGTGACATTAATGCATCCCTCGTCCTTTTTCTTATGGATATCTCCTACATGAAGAGGTCGTAAGGGTCTGACTGATGCGGATAAGAGGAACAACAATAGATCGAAACTGTATCGCGACAAGCTGTGGGCTCTCGACTGGGTCGGAGTGACCGGCGAGCCCGAGTGCGGTGCTGCTGTGTTTTTGACGGAGGACGAAGGGGCGACCTGGTACTGTTGTGGTGGCATCGTCTGGTCTGAAATTGACAAAGCCACGACGGAGAAGGGCAAGGTTGACGAGCGAGACTTAAGGAAGTTCTTCCTCACTTAAGTGTACGATGAGTAGGGTACCGACTGGGTCAAGACTGACCACAAGGTCAGCCTCGATCTTGCTCTGTTCAAGGGGTATGGTCAGAAGGCATTCGCTATAAAAGCCTTCAGCGCCAAGGGAGATGGGAATGAGTTTAGAATGCTCTTACCCGTTGAATTTCTCAGCAAGACCAACGAGTATAGGAAAAGTGGTCAATTCCCGACGGTCGGCGCTAGTCACCAGCTCACGATGCCTCTTGTGCTATTCGACACTCCTGTCGAAAGTCTCGCACGCATATCGACGTGCTCTAGCGATCGGCGGCAGGCTGTGTCGACAACCCAACAACCTATTGGCGGAAAACAGAAACTCATTACTTACTCAAGGCGTTCCGGGGGTGAGTCATCGACGACGACCCTGAAGACGATGGAGCTCGCCAGACGTCCTTCGGATCTTCCAGAAAGTTCTCGTGCTGCTGCCAGCTCGCGCTCGCGGGACACCCCGCAACATAAACTAGACGAGGAGTCAGGTGAAGAAACGGAGGAAGACGAACGGGTTCATAAATTGGATTCGTGTTTCTTGGCGACGCCTGGGCACATCCGGGGCGAAGGCTCTTGCGATGTGAATGTGGGGCGGGAAGCTGGTGGAGGTGGCGAAGCTCAGTTGAGGGGCGATGGAGAATATGACAAAGATGAAGGCKAGTGTGGTAGTGGCGAGCAGCGAGAAAACGTTGGAGGTGGGGCAACCCATTGCAATGGAACAACGGAGCAAATGGAGTGGGACAGAGTTGCAGCCAGTGGTGGGGTGGAATATGGCGGTCAAGGTGGTTCGAAAATGGAAGACGGGGAATTGGAAGACAAAGGAGGAGATGCCGATGTTTCAGCGGGGCTGACTTCCAAGAGGGGGGGAAAACGCACAGCGGAAAAGTCGCCGACGCCAGCTGMGCCTAAGAAGCAGGCTCGAAGGAAAGCTGTGGACTATGTGTCCGATTTTGGATTCAACGCAGGTTCCGCGTTGAATTCGCGTTCAATCCCCGTTTGAACGTGCGTTAGACGGGGAAAAACGGGGTCCGCAATGATTTTTTTCCCAGGCTAAACATAATCGGAAAAAAAAAAAATGGGGTCGTAGATCTTTTTTAGGTCTACAACCCCATATTTTTAATATTATTTTTTGAGCTTTGAATATATTTCTAAGAAATCAAAAACATAAGCACAATGAAAAAAACAAAAACAAGAAATGATACGAGTCTTTTATTTTTAGGTTTCACAGAGATTTTTTAAGGGCTGAAACAAAAACAGAAAAATAAAATAAAAATTATAGAGTTGTACATCCTTTGAGGATGTACAATATATATATATATTTTTTTTTTTTTTTTTTTAACTTCGTGTATTTAAAAAAAAAATCAAAACCATAAACGAATTTTTTTCTGGCCTGCATTGCTTAGGTAGGGATAGACTCCCTGATTTGGGTCTGTAGAAGATTGCATGAGCCTGGAGGGAGATCCCACTAGCCATGTATGTGGATTAGTGTGACAGGTGTGGGACGGGTGGGGGACAGGTGAGTGGCAACGTGAAATAGGGAAAATAAACACAAAAATACATTTCATGACCAAATAAATGAAGAAAAAACTGCGAAAAAGGAAAAGAAAAGTGCTCGTTTCACAGATGGTGTCTGCTCCAGGCGGGGTGTCAGATGTCAGGGTATGATTCACTGACCATGGCTGTGGCAGTCAAGACGACTGCATGTGACTGGGTACACGAACTATGTTCATTGACAATAGTTTGAGGCCTCCTTGAAATGGGCCGCAGTGCTCGCTGTTMGGCTCAGAAATTCTCTTTGGCGAAGGAGGGCAAAAGTAACTCCATACAACATTTGTTGTAGGTGAGGGTATCGAACCCTCCCAAACACCTCCCAAACCACAATCAATTTCCAGCCATGAAGTTATTCGTCTTTGCTTTCCCCGTGAGTGAAACGTGTGTGATTTCACGAAGAAAAAAAAAATGGTTGTGATTTCACGCACGTTTGGGACAACCACAGGACCCCAAAAACAAAAACGAAAGGAAAACATTCCAATGGGAGAGCAAAAGAAAACATAATTTTTCCAGGCTTAGTTCACAAAAGCAGGCTACCGCCGATTTCCTGKCAAATCCACGATGCCTGACAGTCACACACCTTAAACACTAATCCACATACATCGGTAATGGGATCTCCTTCCTGGCGTCCGAAGTCCCATACATCAAGGTCTCTGTTTTTTTGTTTTTTTTTTTGCCTTTCTCCTATTTTCTCAGCCCTGAAACTCGTAATAAACCTATGAGGCCGCTGCCACTCAGTGTCACACTGGATCGGCCACATTCCAATCCGTCTGCTAATGGGACCGTGCTCTTGGTGCTTGTCACTCCTGTCTGGTCGAAGTTGCCCTCAATACTGGTAGGGTGATGGTCCTGAGTGCTGGTCACACTAAGGTAGGATAGTAGGGACAGGGGGTGTGCTAGGAGTATTAACGTGGGGATGGGTAGGGTAGCTGGCCTATCCTAACAGGACAACCATTGACTGTTGGTACCAGCAATCACCACGGGGCTGATCCTTGGCCTCTACAACACCCTGGGCTTTCAAAAAAAAAAAAAAAAAAAGGAATGGATCTTCTGCTAGAACGTGGAATAATACACCGCCATATGTTTTCTCTTATTTGCATGTGGTGAGTAGGGGCCCTTAGGGCCACTGCACATATTCCTAAAAAAAGAAAAACGAGAAAAAAACAAAAGAAAAATGAAAAAACAAAAGAAAACAAAAGAAAGAAGAGAAACAAAAAAAAACGAGAAAACAGAGAACTAGTGACCCATAACCAAGCTGCACAGACTGCCACATACCTGAATTTGAATCCAGACTATATATTCTCGGGCCACAAAGGCAGTCTCCAAGTCTCTGCTCCACGAAGGGTCCTTGCTAATCTGTAGGGACCCTTCGGAAATGAGACAAGAAGACTAGATTGCAGCATTTGTAAAAAAAAAAAAAAAAAAAAGGACATGCACCCACATGCACACACATGTGCTCACAGTCTTAGGGTATGGGGTGACCCTTACTTTTTTCCCTCTTGCAGTTTGAATTTCGGGAGGGAGGAGCATGTTTGGCCACCCCACCCTGTTAGTAAGGGTCATTGTTTTCTTTTTCTTTTTCTTGTTCTTAATGTTTGGGCGCGTAGGGCCAAGTGTCCGAGGCCCAACACGCCGGTTCCGTTTTTCAAAATTCAACAGAACACCCCCGTTTACGTGTTAAACGCGATTTAACGGGGGTCCTCAGGCCCGTTGAACGCGTTCAACGACGTTGAATTTCGCCCATTCTCCGTTCATAGAACACACAGGCTGTGGACGAAGCTCGGGTCGCCTTGGATGCATCTCAAAGGACACTTGGTGAACCCGATGTGAAGCACAAATCAAGTGCTCGGATTTGCAAAACGTCGCAACCCAAGAATCTCATGCGGCCATCAAGGCGCCAAAAATCAGACGACTCTATCGACGACGCTGAAGGGGTGGCCCATCGCTTGCTCTCCCTCCCTGACGACGTCGAACAGGAGACGAAAAACCCAGTGCAATCAACATGACGCAATGCTGCTTCCTCGAGTACGATGAGGAGGGCAAAAAGAGAAGAGACCCGCCGAGGGTGGTAATTGACGTCGTGCACATTCTTCCAATTTCGGAGGGAGATATCACCTTCAATCAGCGATCGCTGAACATGGCCATCCTTGCAGCCCTAGATGCGGCTATCAAGTCGTCGACTGGGCCAAGGGCCGAGGATGATCCTGCTCCGTGGAAACCGCCGGAGTTGGTGCCGACTCCGATTACGCCATGGAAGGACGATCCGGACAGGCAAAGGACACGAGTCCTTCCAAAGGACTTCGATCCCGATAGGGCAGACGAGTACTTTTATTACCCGGTTGCCGGCCAGCATATTGCCGAAGCCATGAAAAAAGCAGTGGCGAGGAGTTCCGATGCAGTGGACGTGTTCAACTTTTGAAATTATGACCGTGTACGGATCATTTATTTCGACGACGACCGTACGAATGGGTATGTGTATGTTTCAACATACGACAACACGAGAGGTAACCGTGCTATGTTGCCGTCGTTCCACCAAGTCTGCCAAGACATCAGAATTTTTTAGGATTCGAAGAACCGGATCGGACCTGTGGGGAAYGTGTCCAAAAAGGATCCCACCGGTTTGAYGCACCARGAAGAGTGGAGGAAGTTYATGAGAGTTTGCATGAGGYGGTYAKGTGAMAAATCCTTGTGGACTGAGTCTTTGGCTCCGAAGWGSCAACATGACYRGAYGAACAGGATGAGGGGATACATGAATGTCGCCACATGTAGGGACCGGATATGGCCATTGGTGAAGGACTTTTTTTARAAGTTCGAAGCGGGGGAGTTGCCGCTACAYGACAACAAGTGCCCAAAGGACTTGTTGGGGAGGCAGGAGGGGCGCATGCCGGGCCAATTYGTTGAAGAGGTGYAYGGGAAGAAGGAGGTGTTCCACTGCATTCTTGCTAAAGACGGGAAACCAAACGCAACGGTGTCCTTCAAAGATCTTGTTTCATCAAACTTCAAATGTTTTGGGGATATGACGGCATAAGAGAAGGAAATCGCTTTGCGTTTGATGATCAATAAGAAAGTCATCGGCACAACTAGACTGGTTCCTCCTAGGAAGATGAACATGACTAACCTCCTCGACATCATAATGCGCGAGAGATACATGACGCGTCTGTTCAACTACATYGTCTTCAAAYYGGAGAACAGAGAGGCGAATGAGTGGAAGGAGGGRYTCWGCTTCGACTATGATAAAATGRAGCAAAGGTYTGGCATAAAGGCAGRCGAATGAGATGAGGAAAGGGATAGGATCCCTTTGGAATATGTCCGGAGGGTTCCAAAAAGACTCGGCGGAGAGCAAGAACAAAAAGACCTGAAAGGAGCTGGTCTAAAGGCCACGGCGGCGTTGTACAGGGACGCGCCATTCCTCGATAGGGAAAGTGGACTTGCCGACAGCCGAGTTGCGACGGTTGAAAAACGCTTCGCTTCATCTGTGCTAGGAGAAGAAAGGGCGACGGGCGACATTGCTGCCGGTCAACATGCACCCAAAGAAGTTGCTGCCCGCGACCGACGAAATTGTGACTGCAGCCACGAACTTGAATTGCAAAGCCGCCATCCTCGATCTCGCAAACCCGAAGGAGTGCCTTGCATGGTCACCGACCGATTTCGATGCTCTGCACATAATGATGTCGAAATTGTGCGGCAATAATTGAATATTGATCGTTTTTGCCCCACAAAAACAACAAAAGATCGTCATGCGACAACTTTACAATTGGGACGACGTAGAGGTGATACCTGGAACTTGGAAGCGTTATCTCGGGGTCGGGATGACTGTCAGCAAGTACGGAAACTGGCAAGTCGATTACAAGGACATGATGGCGATCGTCCTGCGTGCCGAGGGCGGCGACCTCAAGAAGGTCACGAGGGTCCCAAAGTCGGAGACGGAGCTAGTGGAGCTCAACGTTGAGGAAGACAAGTTCAAGAGATGCACAACAAAGCACGACGGTGACGAAGGAAATGAACGAGAGGAATATGGACGGTGGGAACGAGTCCGAACGACATCCCACACGGTTGCGGAAGTTATGTAGTTCGTTTCTGCACGAGGATCATGGGGTGATACTTATTGGAAAGCCGCATGCTGGACTTGTGTGGGAACTTCTACGCGCAGGCTATCATGTTTTTGCATGTGACGCGTCGTCCAAAGACATCTCGTACTTGACAAAGGCAATCGACATTCTTGGGAAGGACACGAAAAACGATTGCACGGTTGAGAGGCAGAAGACTGCGCATCGTCCGGACAGAGATATGTACCACAAGCTGGGCAAGAAGAGAAACAAGATGTGGGACTATTTGTTGCAAGGCCAACCCAAGTCGCCATTCGAGCATGACTACATAGTTCGCAAAGCGATGGCACAGGAAGCATATGGTGGTTACCACAAAGCGCAGGTGGGTGCGTTTGCGATGCTAGTGGCGCGATGCGAACAACTGAAGTTCACGAAAAATCGCACAATGCTGACATACGATAACCACAGTAACCTCGCCAAGACAACAGATGCATGGTGTCCGATCGAGAGCGACGAGGAGACTGAAACCTAAGACCTCGATATCGAAGAGCGAGTGAAACGTTCGCGAGAGGGAATG